GTCTCTCTCTCATCTCTATCTCTCCTCCCTCCCAACCTTTCGCTCTCTCTAAAATGCAATGGAAAAAATATCCTCAGGTGAGGATTAAAAAAGAAAGATGCTTATATCAACCCAAGAAATCTGGTAGGTAACACATTTCTTAGGGTCTACCCAGCCTTGAGAATACCAGTGAGTGGCCCGCCACCCACTATGCACTGCATACAGGGGAGAGGCTGAGCCCTAAAGCCTCACGCCCCCTGCCTTGTCTCTCACCTGTGTAACGTCACCACACGTCCCCCATTCTGGGCTGTTCCTGAGGCTGTGGGCAATGTGCACAGCCAGGTCTCTCAGCAGATTCAGGTTGTTCTGAAATGGATGCCAGAACTAAGTAGACAGGTAGGAAGGATAACAAGACAGCACCGCCTTCCCTCCACTTCATTCTCCCCACTCTCCCCTCTGACAAACGCTCCCTCTAACACATCTGGTTGGGCGGAGGGGCCAAGTCCCGGGACCTATTCCAGGCAGAGCCCACGTGCTCTCTACCCGCCAGGGAATAACCACCTTCTGCAGGAGCTTGGTGGCGTTCTGCAGCTTTTTCACGGCTTCCACGTGATCCTCTGCTCCACACCTGCAAGTGAAAGGCCCGTGGAGAGCTGCCCAGCTTCCCCACTGCGTTTGGTGTTGGGCGTTCGTCCACTGCACTTTGTCATCTATGATCACATCTTACCGCCCAGAGACAGATTATTCTGCCTGCCTTACAAGTAGGAAAGCTAAGCCCGGGTGTCCAGGTCCTGAGAAACAGGAGACAACAGAAGGGGGCATACTTAAGCAGAGTGGTCAATGCTTTTTCAGTTCCATAACTTCTCTCCATCCACTTCAGCACGCGGTTCCCAGCCAGAAATACCAGGTTGGTTTTGTTCTTTTTCCCCTTCTCAGTGCCCAGAATTTTAATGACCTACATGAGGAAAGGAGGTAACACACACACACACACACACAGAAAACACAGTGGGTGCTGGACACAAGGGTAGGAGACACCTAGACCTCCCCCTCAGTTGGGAAGCAATAAAAGAGTAATTTTGCTCAGGACTCCCCAATTGTCCCCCTCTACCCCTCCCAACCCTGTTGTGATCCCACACTCCTGACACTCTCTTTCCTAACCATTCAGAAGCCCCTCCTCACCTACCTGAAGGTCACTAAGATTGCTCACATGGGTCCCACAGCACATGTTGGAATCAACATTCTTGATGGTAACAACTCGAATGGGCCCAGCATGGTCATCTGGCAAACCCCGGCCCCTCACCTACAACACAGAGGAGGGAGGAGGGAGAAGGGCTGTCTGAATTTTGATGAGGAGCCCCCAGAGGGCCATTCTACAGAAGCCACCCTACTGGCTCTCCCCTCACCTGCTCCACCTCAGGATCATCTAGGCTCAGTTCTCGCACATTCACCGGCAGCCGGTCTCTGATTTTCTCATTGACGTTCTGCTCAATGGCAGCTACTTGCTCTACAGTCACAGAGGGGCTATCCAGCTCAATCACACTCCGGAGTCGCCCTAACTCCCTGTCAGAAGAAGTAGAGGAGCCACAGGATGCTGATAATGACAACAGTAACAACATAAGAAAGTTCACAGTTTACAAAGAATGTCCACATAAATTATCTTATTTAATCCTCACAAAAATCCTGCAAGGTAGGGATTGTCATTTCCATCTTACAGCTGAGGGGTAGTAACGAATGTGACCATGGTCACATAGATCCACACTACGTAGGTCTTTAGGCTCAAAATTCTATGTTCTTTCCTAAGCAAAGGCAGATATCTCTCCGCTCATCCTATTGTTTTCCCTACGAAACACAAGGTCATCCACCCCCCACCCTCAAGGGGACCAGGAGAACACAGCAGATTTTGAACACTGCTCTTTCTTTTAGCCTCCTACCCCCTGACCCAATACTGAGAAAGGAGCTGGGAGTCAGAAGTCATGCTCTGCCGTTAGTCTTATGCCTCCTCCTCACCATGACGTTGTCTTCAGCCCAAACAGATGATCAGCAACCGCTGTGATGAGATGCTGCCCTGATAAGAGAGAATGAGAGATAGAAGAATGAGAAGCCCAGACAGCCACATACTCCCACATCATCATAGAAAGTTTCCTTGATGAAGACCTGTTGGGCACTGGGTAATATTGAGATACTTTATTGAATATCCTCACAAGAATTCTGCAAGAGGCTTTACGATGCCATTTCACAAATAAGGAAACTGAGGCCTGGAAATGTCAATTAACTTGCCAAAGTAATGTAGCTTATCAGAGGCAGGATTTGAACTGAAGCTCTAATGTGGCACATTCACTCAACAAATATTTATCAAGTACCTACCACATGCAAGGCACAGGGCTTGATGCTAGAGATACAGCATTATCTCTGACTGATGACAGGAGGAGGAGGAGGAATAGAAGGAATTAACTGTGAAGGCAATGGGAATAGACAGCCAAAGACCTTGAAGGAGGAAAGAAGCAGGATGTGTTCAAGGAATCGAGAGGAAGGCCAGCATGGCCAGAATGCTGGGAGCAAGAGGGAGGGAGACCAGCTGAGGCTGGAGCAGCAGACAAGCACCAGCTCAGGTAGGGCTTGGGGGCCATGGTAAGTATAGCTCTATCGTGAGCAACAGGAAGCTTTTGAAGAGCGTTAAGCAGGAGAGAGACATGATCAGATCTTAATTTTTAAAAGATTATTCTGGCTGCTCTTCGAAGAATAGGCTGCAAGAAGCAAGACTGTATGTGGAGAGACTAGCCAGGAAGCTATTATAGAGGTCTGGGGAAAGACAAGGAGAGCTGGGCCTAAGATGATCACACTGACAGTGGGAGGAAATAGAGAAGTATTTAGAAAATAAACCGACAGGACTTAGTGATTGACTGGCTATCCCCAAAGAGTGTCTGTACTAACTTCCAGGATTTCGAAAAACTAGGTGGCTGCTGATGCCATGCACTGAATATAGAGAACGCTAATGGAAGACCAAGTGTGGGAAAATGGGTGACTTAAAAAAAATGTTTTTATTGATTTTAGAGAGAGAGGAAAGGAGAGGGGGAGAGAGAGAGAAACAGCAATCAGTTGCCTCCCGCACACAACACACCCCGACCAGAAACCAAGCCCACAACCTGGACATGTACCCTGACTGGGAATCTAACTCGTGACCTTTCATGGCACTGACAACACTCAACCAACTGAGCCAGACCAGCCAAGGCTGGAATGGGTGACTTTTATTCATTGCTGTTGTTTTTTTTGTTTATTCCTTTTTTTTCTCGAATGGATAACTTTTAAATACCATTCTAGATGTTCTGAGTTTAAGAAGTTTATGACACATCCAGATAAAGATACCAATAAGGGAAAATCCAACAGTTATTCTAATACTTTAATTTGTATTGGTTGATTTGAGAAAGAGGAAGGGGGAAAGATAGACAGAGGGAAAAAAAAAACCACATTGATTTGTTGTTCCACTTATTTATGCATTCATTAGCTGGTTCTAGTTAGTATGTGTGTTGGGGCCATGCTCTACCAATTGGACCTCCCGGCTAGGACCATATTCTAATACTTTTAGTTGCTCATATTGCTTTTATAACACCTATCATAACCTGCCTCAATCGGAGCTGCTTCTGCATACGTCTGACTTTTCCAAAAGGCTAACTCCTAGAGAACCCAAACCGTATCTCAATCATCGTGGCATCCCATACAGAGCAACTGCCCCTCCCACAGGGCCCGATCCCGCCCCACCTACCTGAATGCTGCTGCATGTGGTCAAACCTCCGCTCCCAGTCCACCTGGACGTGGACCTCAGTCCCAGGCGCCAAGGGTGTCTGTGTGAAATGGTCAGCCTCGGCCCCCCGGCGGGTCACTCTCAGCACAGAGATGCCATTGATCGTGCCACGGTCATCAGGCTGGGGAAAGAAATGCCGATCAGCAGCAGTGGGAGGCAGGGCTCACCCCAACTCCTGGACACAGAGACCCCGGCAGCAAGGAATGCGGGGCTTCGGGTACCTGCCCCCCGCCCTCGGGGAAAAGCAGCGTGTCTTCCAGCACCACTTGGAAACCGCTCAGCACGTCCTTGTGGCCTTTGCTTCCTTCGGTCTGCAGCTCCGCGGGCCGGCAGGAGACCACGGTGGTGGTGAACTGAACAGAGAGGGACGAACGAATAAACTGAATCTAGCTCGGCTCTCCCTCCACACCGCGCCCTCTTCCCGCAGCGCCCCCTCTGCTCGGCAGCATCGGGGCCCTCGCCCGGCGGCCGCACCGCACCTCCCGGGCGTAGCTGTCCCGCTGACACCGGAACGCCATCGCCGCCCTGTCCCCGGGATGCCGGACCCGCGCGCGCTGGAGAGCCTGGGGCGGACGGAGGCCCGCGCGGGACAATCCTCAGTGCGGACGCGTCTCTGCGCAGAAGCGAGAAAGCGAGGAATGGGATGTGGTTGGGACAAATTTGTTGAAAACGCGATTTGCAGACGTTCTGGGTTGGTTAGCAGCTGCTTTGACTTTGTAAAGGACCAGAGGACAAAACTGTCCTGAACTTATCGAGGCACTTAGTGTAGCCGGTTGGGCTCCCGGGATGTGTAGAGGTGGGGATGGTGCGGGCTTGGAGGCACGGCAGCGTGCCCAATAGAAATAATGCAAGCCGCATGTGTTAATATTTTATTTAAATCAACATATCCATACTTTCATCATGTAATAGGTATGTAAAAATAAGTGAGTTTTTCCCGTATAAAAGTTTCAAAACCTGGTGTGTATTTTACACTCCCATCTCAGTTCGGAGCAGCCATATTTCAAGTACATGTGACTCGTGCTGGACAGTGCCTTGAAACTTTAACCGCTTAAAAATTAGTTAACTTTCTTTCTGCTCTTTCAAATCAGCTAATAAAAAACCTGAAGGCTCCAGATGTTTCAGAATTTAGGATTTCTCAGATTTTAGGCAGTAATGGAGAGCCTACTCTATGTGTTGTTACCTAACGCGTTCCATTTGGAACTCAAGAGCAACATCTTGTAATCAAATCATTCATATTTATGCTGAGAAATAAATATACTAAATGCAATAAACACTATAAACAGCCTCACATCATTTTAGGTCATGTTTTGTTGTCAGATGAGTTTTGGTGTCAATTTTTTTGTTGTTGGTTTTCAGAACTGTGGATAAAGGGACATGCTATACAAATTCAAGTCACAACTTTGCCACTTATTGTTACCTGATTGATGACCTATGAAGAAAATATATAATTATTTAATGAGATAATAGTAAATTGTAAAACATAATACAAATATAACTTTGTATTAGCAATTGTTTGGGGGTTTTTTTTAGTTTAAGAATTAATGTCAGCTTTAAAAGTATAAAGAGACTTCTGGAGTGTGCAGAAAGCTGAGGTGGGTTTCTGGCTGATTCTAGGAGTGGCAATATTACCCCTATGGTGAAAGGCTGGTTTCTGCTCTGAGAAATCAGAGCATAGATCTGTGCATGGGGAAGTCCCCCAGCTTGGTTACAACCTGCTCCCAACAGATTTCTTCTTTCAACCTCAGCGATGAGGGCCAGGCTCTCTGACACCCACCCCTCCCCTAAAGAGTAACTATAGGGGGAGAAGAGGTTTGCCTCCAGGAGGAAAAAGTACAAGCAGGAGAGATATAGACCAGTTCCTAAAGATTTATTATAATCTATATGCTACTTCTTTGGATTTTGCTCTACCACATACACACATACTCGAGAGCCCTGATGAGTGGCCCAAACATAGAGAATATAGCTGGTTGGTAGGAAGTCAGCAGTCCCACCAGTCTACTCCTCTGCTATTCTGCCATCTGATGTAGCAGCCATAGTCAAGTGTCTAGGGAAAAGAAATAAAGCATGAAGGAGGACACTTAATTAAGAGCTTCGAGGAAAGATCTGAGATCCCAGAGGACCTTGGTGCTCAGCCAAACAGCTGGACAAAGGCCCAGGCCCTAGCTTGTCAGAAGGACTGGAAGGCAGCCACAGCTTCCTCCACAGGTCTACCGTGCAGAAGTTAACTACTTGTTGCGTCGGCACTGTCAGAATCATCCTAGAAAAAAAGAAAAAGACAAACGTTACCTGTAGAATAAGGAAAGAGTGAACATTTGTGTTCACAAACACTGCTCACTCCCTTCTGCTCTCCAAGTTTTCTTTTGTGATTTTCTGAGTCACACAACTTCTTGGGAGGCTCATATGGAAGGATTTAAACTTTGGAAAATAAACCACCAGTACTGAATAAACAGCACGGTGTCATGTATCATTTAGTTTCAGAATTTCAATTAATGCTACTGCTCCTTACAACTGTAAATATAGTCAACAGGGCCAGAACTGCTCTAGGATGGAGAAGCAGAGGGAGAGATGCAAGTGAAGAGGGTCTTGCTGGGTTTGGTGTTTTTTCGTTTTCTTATAAGCAAAAGTTTATTTAGAAAGCCACAGAGGTTTAAGAAAAAAAGTTACAGAGGCCAAGAAGAGCCCTTGAAGCTTAAGAGAAAGAAAAGTAAGGTAACATGCCTGGGGAGAAGAAGGGGATGAGAAAGGTGTGGGAATGCTCCCAAGAAGGAGAGCACTTCCTGGGGTTTTCTTTTTTTATATATATATATTTTTTTTTATTGATTTCAGAGAGGAAGGGAGAGGAAGAGAGAGATAGAAACATCAATGATGAGAGGGAATCATTGATTGGCTGCCTCCTGCAGGTTGGACCAAGCCCACAACCCAGGCATGTGCCCTAGACCGGAATCGAACCTGGGACCCTTCGGTCTGCAGGCTGACGCTCTTTCCACCGAGCCAAACCGGCTAGGGCTTACTGGGGTTTTCTTAAGCCTGGAGAAGAACATTCACTCTTCTTTGTCAAATTCAAATTTGGCTAAAAAAAAAAAATCAAATTTGGCTAACATGCACTGAGAACTGCTATGTGCTAGGGGCTGAGACAGGCGCTTTCTAGTATTGTATCTTATTTTTAAGAGCAAAACGGAAACTAAAGGGTTGAGGGCAGGCTTTACTTACATCCAGATCGTCCATGGCAGGGGGAGGTCTCTTGGTGCTGACCTTCTGCAAAAGCTAGAGGGAAAAGAAAAGTAGTCACAAGAGAGAAGAGCAACCTGCATACTAATGGGCCACAGGAGAATGGTCCAGCCAGACAACGGCCCTATGTTTAAAGCCCCTAACACATCAGTGGAATGAATTAGAGAAAAGTACATCAAGCCCCTTTTTAATAAGAAATTTAAAAACACACAGAGCACTCTCCTTACTAATCCAGGTCAGGGTCTGCTAGTGTTTTTGCAACTTGAATAACTAGTACTGAAATTCTGAAACCAAATAATTTATTGGGAAATAGTGATTTTTTTTCTAATCCTCACCTGAGCATATTTTTTCCATCACTTTTCAGTGAAAGGAGGAGGAAGGGAGGGAGAAATCGACTGGTTGCCCCCACATGCACTCGCCCCAACCACAATTGCCCCAACCTGCAACCCAGGAATCAAACCCTCGACCCTTCGTGCTTGGGCCAATGCTCTGACCATTTAGAAACACTCACCAGGGTAAAAATAGTGATTTTTTAAATTTGAATTTTATACTGCTTAGTTTGAGCTTCCCAAGAGGTTATCTAGTTCAAGAAAACACACACACACACACACACACACACGCACACACACATGAACAAAAATTACAGAAAAGTAGGAAAAGGTTCTACCAAACTTCTTCAGATCACAGGCTCTACTCTATGAATAGAATATTCATTTTTCCCATCCCTACTAAACACTGCACAAAATACATAAAGAATATCAGCACCAATCAGCGGCCGGCCTAAGGAGCTCATATATCTCTGCTTAGCCCTGATGACAATTCTCCAGACAGAGACTCAGAGAATGATCAAGATGAGCAGAAAATGACATTACCTCTGCGTAATGTTCCACCTGAGCCAGCTCCACCTCTTCATCCCCTTCCCAGTCTCTCCAGTTATCAAAGTCCACAGACAACCACACTGGCTGAAAGAGGAAGCACGGAGAGTCACAGGCTGAGAGGGCAGCAGAAGTGCATAGAAAAGTGTGGTGTGTGCATGGGAGCATGCTTGGGGAAGGTCAATGGGAGCAGTCTTCCCAACAGCCCCCTTTAACCCCATCTCCAAATAGCCACATAATCCATAAAGACTTACCAAGAGCCTTTTAAACACAATGTTTAGGGTATGGAAAAGCATAGAAATTCTGCCCTCCAAGAGCAAATTAACTGGGAAGATAACACATCTGGAAATATGACTATGTCATAAAGTATCATAGAATCAACCAAGGAAGACAGGGACAACCCTTCAAGGCCCATGTCCCAAGTTCCCACACTTAGAGAAAAAAAGTTATTTACTAATTCATTTAGCAGATAGTTATTGAACAGATACTATGGGTCAGACTCTGAGACTGGCACTGGGATTATAGAAATGTTTAATACATAGTCCCAGCCATCAAGAAGCAAGTGAGGCCCAGCTGGTGTGGCTCAGTGGTTGAGCATCGACCTATGAACCAGGAGGTCATGGTTCAATCCCCAGTCAGGGCACATGCCTGGGTTGCAGGCTCGGTTCCCAGTAGGGGGCAGCCAATCAATGATCTCTCTCATCATTGGTGTTTCTATCTCTCTCTCCCTTCTCCTTTCCTCTCTCTAAAGTCAATAAAAAAATTAAAAAGGAAAAAAAGCTCCAACTCTAGGCAGTTGGGAATTTTAGACCAGTGTGGCCAAAATCACCATTTTTTGAGAGAAGCTAATAATCTGGATTTGTGGGTGAATTCGCCATATTTTTATATGTCAGCAACTAATCAAAACTTCTAAATATCGGTAGGCAATGGAAATAATTTTTAACATTGTGAAGGCTGCTCAAATAAATTTGAGAGCCAGATCCGACCAGCAAGCAGTCAAATTGCAACCTTTAGGAGAAAGAATCTACTGGAGGATCTTAAGTAGGGGAGTGACAAGGTCAAATGTGTTTATTTTTTTATATGTCTTTATTGATTTTAGGGAGAGAGAGAGAGGGAGATTGATTGGCTGCCTCCTGCATGCCCCCTATGGGGGATCAAGCCCAAAACTCGGGCATGTGTCCTGACAGGAAATCGAACCTGCCACCCTTTGGTGCATAGGACAACATTCACACTCACCAGGGCTCAAATATGTGTTTCAGACAGATCATAATGGGAGGGATGCTTTAGACAGATTGGGGGTGGGGCTGAAAATACACAACAGACCTCACCCAGTGATGGATGAAGCCTGAATTAGGTAGATATGAAATAATGGATTCAATCCTATCCAGGTAGTCAAATAGGCAGGATCTGGTGAGTGACTGGATGTTGGTGGGGAAGGAGGCAAGGGTGATTCCCAGAGCTAATTTGGTACATAGACAGAGAGCACAGGAGAGAGAGCAGGCCACTCCCTACCTTGATATCCTCCTTGGTGAGCCGGGGCCAGGCCACTTTCTCCTTCCATTTCCTCACAAAGCAAGTAATGGAGCGGCAAGAGCGCTTATCCTGGGAGTCCTGCCGCATAGAGAGCCTCATGCTTAAGAGTCTTAAGGGAATGAATCTCCCATTCCCCAGGCAGCCTTCCCACCCAAACCTGACTGTCCCACCCCATCCTTACCTTGGAGTTCACCTTGGCATAGAACTCAATCTCATTGTACAACTCCACTCCATCCGCATTCTTGCAGCTGAGGAGACAATGCAGCAGAAGAGATGTGGGAGGCTGAGTGTGGGGGCACTAAGAGAAAGGAAAGGTTCCCAGGAAGCCAGACTCAACCAATGGGAGGCCATTACCTGAACACAATGCGGTGGTCTTCTAGGAGCACGTGGACATCGGTGCTGTCCTCAACACAAAACTCCATGAACACGTACCTGGGCCTGTCATACCACAGGGTCCGGGCATGCTGCCTGAAGAGGAGTTGAGGTGGGGCTTCACAGGGATGGGAGAGGGAAGACTGAGAGCATTTGGGAAAGATGGGAGAAGGGGGAAATACAGGGATATTTTATGCTACCGCCCTGTCAACATGGAGATACAAGAGACAGGAGGAGGTGGGATAGGAGTGATGGAAATGGGTGAGGGTGAATCTGGGGAGAATCAAAAGTGTGAGAGTGAAAGGTAAGGAGTTATGGAGGCCATGGAGATGGCACTGCCCCTCACCACCCCAAAGTTACAGAGACCTGGGGCCTGGGGTTCCCATGGGACCTCGCAGAACCTGCAGCGCCCAGAACATGTGGGACAAGAAATCTAAAGGGGAAAGGGTGGCCGGAAACACTCACCGTGCCATGGCGGCCCCCCGCAGCCCAGTGGCGTTGGGAATCCGAGTCCGGGGTCACTATCTTTAGATCCTGGTGAGTGACGCCCCCGGCAGCTGCCTCTCCTTATATGGTCGGCGGAAGGTTGCAGAGGCAGGAGAGCCGCGACCTTACCAGGGAGCCGCACTCCGGGGACAGTGGGAAAGCCTGGCCCCTGCAGCCCTGCACGTCCGGGGACAGTGGGAAAGCCTGGCCCCTGCAGCCTCTGCAGCACTGCATGTCTCCAGAAAAGCACACATTTAGGCAGAGACGACCCACCCTCTGGGACCGGGGCAAGGGCTACACGACACTAGATACACACACGGAGTGACTCGTCCGCGGCTCCACGCACCTGCTTCTCCGACGCTTAGTACATTCAGCGCCAGATTCACAAAAGGCGCTCAATTTAAAAAAATTATTGGTCCAAACGAAATCCCCGGGGAAGGCCCGCCCTCCGCAACCAACTCCGTGACGTCTAAGCCCCGCCCACCCGCCCGCCGCGTTTCCCAGCCCGTGCGTCGTAGCCATGGCAACAAGGGAGTGCCTCTGACGTGTGGCGGCTTTTCCGGGAAGATGGCGGCTGTCGAAGTAGCTGCAGAGCCGGTAACGGTGGTGGCGGCCGTGGGACCAAAGGCGAAGGACGAAGAGGAGGAAGAGGAGGAGTCCCTGCCGCCGTGCGAGGCGGTGCGCTGGGCCCCGGTGGGGGCGGTGGCCGAGGCCGGGCCTGGGGCGACTGCGTTCTCGGAAGAGGCGGCTGCCGAGGACCCCGGCGCGGCCCCGGGCTCCCCGCCCGACTCTCCGGGCCGGACACTGCGGCGGCTGCGGGCCGAGCGTCGGCGGCTGGACTCGGCGCTGCTCGCGCTGTCCTCGCACTTCGCGCAGGTGCGGTTCCGCTTGCGCAGGTGTGCGCGGGGCGCCGGCCGAGCAGCAGCGCCTCCTGCGCGAGCTCGAGGACTTCGCCTTCCGCGGCTGCCCTCACGTCCTGGGTTACGGGGAGCCCGGGGACCCCGCCTGCGACGAGAGCGACGGGCTGCCGGGGGACCGGCCACGGTTGCGGGGCGAGGACCAGGTGAGCAGCGGGGGCCGGGCCCCGAGGGGTATGGGCATAGGAGGGAGGGAGTGGGTGGGTGGCGATCCCGACGAGGATGGAGGTAGCGGTGGTGAGCAGCCGACCTGGCTAGGTGAGTACGCGCGTCCGAGACAGGAAGCTTGAAACAGGCGTGTGGACAGGAGGACAAAAAGGCCTGGGGACCCGTGGTGAGAGGTGTCCCCGAAGGTGTGATGACGTGAAGGGCGAAGAGAGGATTGAGAGGGCCACCGATCAACCAACCAAGGCAGCGCTGCTTCCGCTCACCTTGCAGTCACCTTAGCAAACACCTGGCACCTTTGCTGATAGAGTGCCCCGACCCTGGGGATTGGGGAGATTGGCTGGTGAAGAGCAAGTGGATTGGAAATCGTGGATAATTAGATCTCCTCTCTCTGCCCGTGTTTTCCTGGAACCTAGAGACTCTTTCATCTTTAGACTCTTGTCTGAGCGCTTTGGTGAACAACAGGGTATCTTAGTCATTAAAAGGAACACAACTCCTGATTACATCCATTTTCTAATGCTGGTATTTTAAACCTCCTTCCCCATCCTGCTTGATAACTAGATATTCGAAATGAGGTTCCACTGGTAACTGACAAGATTCAGTCAGTTAGCCACCTCGAGAAGTTGGGAGAGTGTGTATACCGCACCAAGGGAACATTCCCTTACAGTCTTTCAATCCCTGGAAATGCGCACTTGTAGATAGGTGTTGAGGAGACTCACTGTCTTTTCTCCACATTTAAATATATATATATTTTTTATTGATTTCAGAGAGGAAGGGAGAGAGCGAGCGATAGAAACATCAATGATGAGAGAATCATTGAATGGCTGCCTCCTGCACGCCCCCTACTGGGGATCGAGGCCACCACACGGGCAGGTGCCCTGGGCGGGAATGGAACCCGGACCCTTCAATCCGCAGGCCAATGCTCTACCCACTGAGCCAAACCAGCTAGGGCTACCACCTTTTTATTCTTTTTTTAAAAATATATTTTATCGATTTTTTTACAGAGAGGAAGTGAGAGGGATAGAAAGTTAGAAACATCGATGAGAGAGAAACCGCAACCAAGGTACATGCCCTTGACCGAAATCAAACCCGGGACCCTTCAGTCCGCAGGCCGACGCTCTACCCACTGAGCCAAACCGGTTAGGGCTACCACCTTTTTATTCTTAAAGCTACAACCGACATGTGCTTTCTTCCCACTTAAATTGGTTTTAACCAAGAAGACTTACCAGTAACAGATACTGACTTACTTTCATCTGAAATGTTTCCAATGCAATCTTGTGTTTACTGTTCCACCCTTCTCTCCAAATACCCACAGCTCCTTGCACAAACAAGGAGCAGCCACGTCAAATTGCCAGACTCTTAAGGAATAGAAAGGATAGAACGGATTACTGTGGGCAGGCCCTGTTCAGGTGTGAGGAGCACCGAAGGTTCTCTGTGGATTTGCTCTTTTGGTTGTTCATTTTCACTTTCAGAAACAGAGAACAACTTTGAAAAAAAAATGTAGTGTTCAGAAATACCTAATAAGCAGCTGTGATCTTGTGTGCATATATTGATACAAGAACAGGTAGTGGGGGATATGTGTGAACCAAATGATTTACTTCTTATCAGTTCCTGGTTTTTTTAAACCAATATTTTATCTCACTTCACACTGGAAATTATTTCTTTTATTTCCTGCCTTGCACCAGAGCTCATTGTTCTATTAAACTTGTTTGCTCACATTCCAATAAATAACGTACTAGAACTATTATGGCAAAGTTCAACATTCTCATGAAAACAGAGTCAGGATTTATAGCTGGTTTCTTTCTTCCTTGTTTTCATAAAGTTGGGGTACAGTGAAAACACAAAGTTTACCTAGTCGTGTTCCTTGAGCTGGTTAGACTTCTGGTCAGAGTTCATTACAGTAGTCCCTGCTTATCCAAGGGAAATATGTTTGAAGACCCCTAGTGGATGCCTGATACCTCGGATAGTACTGAACATACATATTATGTTTTTTCCTATATATACATACCTATGATAAGGTTTAATTTATCAATTAGGCACAATAAGAGATTAACAACAATAACTAATGAAATAGAACAGTTATGACAATATACTGTAATAACAGTTTTGTGAATGACTTTGGGCCTGTAGTAAGTAAAGTAAGGATTACCTGAATACAAGCACTGTAATACCGCAACAGTCCAAATAACCCAAACGATTACTAAGTGACTGATGGGTGGGTGGTCGATACAGCATGGATACCTAGATACTCTGGACAAGGGGAAGATTCAGGCTCAGGATTTCCTAATGCTACTCAGAAGAGTACACAGTTTAAAACTTTTGAATTGCTTATTTCTGGAATTTTCTAATTAATACTTTTGGACCTTGGTTAACTGCAGGTAACTGAAATCACAAAAGGCAAAACTGCAGATAGGAGGGGACTGTTGTGTTTGGAATATGCCATTCTGTATGTGATTCAGTAATAAAAAACAAATGTGTATTGAGAGTTTACCCTGTGCTAAGCCTTGAGGGTACAAAGCCATGGCCCTTGCCTGTAAGGAGCTCATAGACTGGGGGAGACAGAATCCTAAACAAATAATTATAATGTGACATGAGCTAGAGTAGAGTGTGTACAAAATACAGTGGAAGGAATGATCGGTTCTGCCTGGGAAAATCGAGGAAACCTTCTTTTAGCGGACCGCTAGGCCCGCACTAAGACAGGAAGAGAAAAAGGATTCTAAGAACACTACCCCACTCAGAAAGGATTGCAGGGGGAGTATCCTGAGAAAAGGCTTGCTTTCATGTTGAATAAAGGTAAAGCAAGAGCATTGCTTTTTAAATAATTTGAACAAAAAGTTATCTTGTTTTTCATTTGTCCTCTCTCATACCTTACTTCTGGAGGGCTTGTTAAGTACCATTTTAAGGTTAAATTTAATATCCTATAGACTTCTAGTTTGAAATGCAGCCTTATGCCTGCATAATGTGCTGAGTTTGCTTTGTTTTGATACTCAAGAAAGGCATGGAAAAAACAGTGTTTGAGTATACACTGGCAAGACATTGCCACCCTGAAGGGATTATAATCATTTAAATGTGGAAAGCACCTGGTGGCCAACAGTGGGAAAGGGAATCACTGCTCAGGGAAGCTTACCAGACATTAAAAAAAAAAAAAACCACTATTACCTTCCCACCCCCATTACTTGGCTTTGGATTTTTTATTGCCCCATATCTGCATTTATTCTTTCTTTTGATTTTGTAGATGTCTGTAAAACATTGAATGGACTTTGAATCTTAAAAAAAAAACTGGTTATGAGTTATAAAGCCTTTCTCTACACCCTTACCTCCAGATTCTCTTCAGAAAATAGTCAGGAGTTGTTCTGTGGTAATTAGCTATGGAAGATGGCATGGCTAATTCCTGGGAGGCTGTCTTGGCTGATATAAGTTATCTCACTCCTAACTAGACCTTTAAGGGGGTGGGCGGGGAAAGCAATCTTGCCATAGGCGGTTTGGCTCAGTGGATAGAGCGTCGGCCTGTGGACTGAAGGGTCCTGGGTTCGATTCTGGTCAAGGGCATGTACCTTGGTTGCGGGCACATCCCCAGTAGGGGGTGTGCAAGAGGCAGCTGATAGATGTTTCTCTCTCTATGTTTCTCCCTTCCTCTCTGTAAACAATAAAATAAAATAAAAAATTTTAAAAAGCAATCTTAACAAAAGGCCCCATTGTATTCTTATCCTATTTCCAATGAGAGACAAATATTTTCCTAAAGAAAACACATTTAATAAATTTCCCTGTATGAAATAATTATTCTTATTTTTGAGCCCATCTTACAAATTCTGTATTTCATCTGGATTATTTGGAAATGTCTTATATTTTGCTAGTCATTATTGGCTTGAGAGGATTCTTGATGTGCCCTGAATTTTCCTTTTCCTATGAAATAAACCTAAGTATTTTCTCATCTTAGAGTGAGCAGGAGAAACGAGAACGTCTGGAAACCCAAAGGGAGAAGCAGAAGGAACTGATACTGCAGCTCAAAACCCAACTAGATGATCTGGAAACATTTGCCTATCAAGAGGGCAATTATGATTCCCTACCACAGTCTGTGGTCCTGGAAAGACAGCGGGTAAGTAGAGGTCACCACTACCTAAACACTGTTCCTTCCAGTGTTTATTCTTTCCAGCATTCATTCTCTCCTAGCTTGCTTGTCCTGGGTCTTACTGAGAATCCCTTTGCTGGCCTAAATCAAAGGGAAATTTTACTATTACAGTCTTTATTCACACATGGAAACACGAGTTCCAAAGTTTTATAATATGATGATTGAGTTCTACCTTTTTGTTGATTATTATTAATAATAATAGTAATACTTTCTTTTTTAATATATTTTATTGATTTTTTACAGAGAGGAAGGGAGCGGGATAGAGAATTAGAAACATCGATGAGAGAGAAACTTCTATCAGCTGCCTCCTGCACACCTCCTACTGGGGATGTGCCCGCAACCAAGGTACATGCCCTTGACCGGAATCGAACCTGGGACCTTTCAGTCCGCAGGCCGACGCTCTATCCACTGAGCCAAACCGGTTAGGGCAGTAATTCTTTCGTTTGATCATTAAAATAGTTCTATTTGGGCACATCATACTATGTAAACTAGCTTTTTCCCCCACAATCAGTTGATAAATATATCAGGAATCCAGACTGACTTTAATGCTGTATTTATTTAAACAACTTTTGGGTAGACAGGTAAATCAGCTAGTAGAAATACAGCTACAGCCTCCCCTACATGTTTGTCTCTCCTTTTGACGTGGCTATTTCTCTGCCTGGGCTGCAGTTGCATTACCAAGATTTCATTGTTCCTAATATTGTTAGTAGGATATTTTGGCTATAATATACCTTCATGTTTTGTAAAGATTTTTCTTTAGTTACTTAGAGTAGAACAAGAAGGGATGAGAAGGACTAGAAACTAAGAGAAACCAGTATTTATTCTCTTGGAGACCTTGGGGGAAGCTAAGTATGAAGATTTTTGGATCATCGGCCACTTTGGATTATTCATGCTGTTAGTCACCTGAGTGAAAGTTGCCTAGTCCGGTAGAACATTTGTAGTTAGAAGAGCCATTTCTGTCGGACAGGAACCAAAGGTTCTTGTTACTCCCAGAGAAAAAAGGTCTATCCTTACCTAATAAGCAATTACATCATTTCTCTCATGAATTTGATAGTTCTTTGTGTCTTTGATTTCTATTTAAGGGTAGGAGGTATGCCAGTAAAGATTTTCTTTCTTCCTAACCTTCTCCCTGAAAATTCCAAAGGGTGTGCTCATTGCTTGTGGTCTTGATAGGTGATCATAGATGAATTAATAAAGAAACTGGACATGAATCTGAATGAGGACATCAGTTCACTGTCTACTGAAGAGCTTCGGCAACGTGTCGATGCAGCTGTGGCTCAGATTGTAAATCCAGCCCGAGTGAAAGAACAGTTGGTTGAGCAGCTGAAAACTCAGATCCGAGATCTTGAGATGTTTATCAACTTCATCCAAGGTCAGAGGGGGGTGGACAGATGTGATAATTTATATATTGTAAGTAATGATACCTAAAGGTGCCAGTCTTGGTGTACTCTTTAAGGGGTTTGACCACTTACTACGGGAGCTAGCATGGTGAGTAACCAGATAGCTAAAATCTCACTCTGCCATTTACTGGCTCATGTCCTTGAGCAGGTTCCTAACCTCTCTAGTCCCACTCTCTTCACCCATAAAATGATTCATGCTTTCTTCACTCAGCAAATATTTTTTGAGCCAACAACTACAGACCAGTCACTGTTTTATACAATTAAATAAGATTTATTTGTAAGTCTTGTCATGTAGTAGGCACTAGTAAATATTCTTCCTTTGAAAATCTGCCATCAAGGGGCTAAAGAAGTATCTTCTCTTTTTAACTTCTGATTATAGATGAAGTGGGAAACCCATTGCAGACAGATAATGGACACTGTGAGTGCAAGGCCAGTGGGAAGACAGGGAACGGCTCCACCAGAACTGGCAGCAGCAAACTGCCTCCAAGAAACAGCAAACGTAAGTACAGCTCCCAGATTAGGCAAATCTATAGAGACAGAAAATAGATCAGTAGTTGCTAAGGGCTTGGGAGGTTGGGAAGAAGGGTAATGGGAAATGCTAATGGTACAAGGTATATTTTGGGGATGATGGATACACAGATCTCTGAATATACTAAAAAACCACTGAATTGTATCCTTTAAATAGATGACTTGTATGGTATGTGAATTATATTTCAATATAGCTGTTACTAACCCAAAGAAAGGGAAGTCCAGTGACATCCTTGGGTGGCTCTTAGCTTCATGTGGGACCTATATATAGCTCCAAAGCAATACTTTATCTCAACTTGTGACTTATTGAATGTACTTCTGTGCTCTTATGGCCCTAACTGATGAGTATTGTGTTTTCTAAACAGCAAAGGCGGAAGATGTGAAGAAAGTCCGGGAGACGGGGCTGCACCTGATGCGGCGAGCACTGGCAGTGCTCCAGATCTTCGCTGTTAGCCAGTTTGGTTGTGCCACAGGCCACATCCCACAAACCCTGTGGCCAACAGGCCAGGCTGACAGGGACTACTCTCCCTTACTGAAGAGGCTGGAGGTGTCAGTAGACAGAGTGAAGCAGCTAGCCTTAAGGCAACAGCCTTACGGCCACGTCATCACCTCTGCCAACCTCCAGGACCTCTGTCAGGGGGGCAAGGACGAGCTGACTACAGCTGTGCGAAAGGAGCTGACAGTGGCCATGAGGGACCTGCTGGCCCATGGACTGTATGCCTCCTCACCAGGGATGAGCCTCGTCATGGCCCCCATTGCTTGTTTGCTGCCGGCCTTCTCCTCGGCCCCCGAGGCCATGCATCCCTGGGAGCTCTTTGTAAAGTACTACCATGCTAAGAATGGCCGTGCTTACGTGGAATCCCCAGCCCGGAAGCTCTCCCAGTCCTTTGCCCTGCCTGTTATGGGAGGCACTGCTATGACTCCCAAACAGAGTCTACTGACAGCCATCCATATGGTGCTGACAGAGCATGACCCTTTTAAGCGCAGTGCAGACTCAGAGTTGAAGGCCTTGGTGTGCATGGCACTGAATGAGCAGCGTCTCGTGTCCTGGGTGAACCTTATCTGCAAGTCGGCATCACTCATCGAGCGCCACTACCAGCCCTGGAGCTACATGGCGCACACAGGCTTTGAGAGTGCCCTCAACCTGCTCAGTCGCCTCAGCAGCCTCAAGTTCAGCCTCCCTGTCGACCTGGCTGTGCGCCAGCTCAAGAACATCAAAGATGCCTTTTGATGATAGTGCACTAGCCCTACCCCAGCACATTTTTCAGTAAAGATAGGTGGTTAGGCTTCTAAGATAGGAACAGAGAGTAGGAGGAAGGGTTAAAGATGTTTCCCCTAGCCAAATGACTGCAAAGTCAGTTTTATTTAAAGGTTCTTCCCTGGTGTGTAACCACAGTGTACCTGTGGCACATACGTTTGAGCCTATGGAAAAGAAATTAGTCATGGCACATGGTTAATGCACCAACACTCATGCCAGGTATAAATTTTAGGAAATCCAAGTTTCTCTAACTATTCTCTTTATGACAGTGAGTGGCATTATGAGTGAGTTGTTAGTCCTGAAAGAATTAGACTTGAGATTCGTATTGGTTAAGTTGGGAGCCAAGGTTCAGGGGAGGTTGTGTATATTCCATAGCTGCCTCCAAACTAGGAATGGGAATAATCTGAGAATAGCATTTCTAAGGGAGTTAACCACAAGTTAATTTTAATATGATCCCTTTAAGAATTGAAGTCTGTTCCGGACAAGGTGGTCCTCTTCACACAGCACAGACAATATTTTTGTTTTGTTTTGGAGAGGACTGTTTATAAAGAATGACAACCATTGACTGGTTCCATGTCCTCTGGCAACCTCCCAAGGACATGCTGACAGTGTTCTGAGAAGTAGACGTGTTAGAAGTATACTTCTCAAGAGAGCCCTTGCCACTGAATCAAGTGTGGATAGGAAAACACATCAGTGACCAGCAGCAACTTCTGGGCTGTGATTCCCTTGTCTTGGAGGCTGGATGGTGGAGGAGGTCTGATCATGTGATAAGTACTACAGCGGGGGTGGGAAATATGGCAGATTGCTGTTGAACACTTCATTGTAAAACTGACTCTAGAGCAGCCCAGTTTGGTCCTCAATATTTTAGCCTGTTTAGTTTCTATGTCATTCAGCCTGCATACTACTCCAGGACTGACCAAAGATGGGCAAATTGTATCACTTTCTAGAAAACCAAATGAGTTCCCAACACTACTGATTCAGCATTGTTTCATGTATTAAATTGGCAGCTGCACTTTATGTCTGCACTATTACATAGTGCATTTTAACTTAATTTTTCCAGCAACATGTTATTTAAGATGTATTGTTGAGAATTCATTAGAATTAGTTCTCCTGTGTGAAGCAGAATAAATGTATGATGTTGTGGAAAATGATATATCTGTGGTTGCTAATAAAATCTAGTATTTTGTGTAGATTCTCTGTAAGGACCTCAGAGCCCCTTGGCTTTGATTTGTAAGTCCATCTGGGCATTATCTGATCCAGACCATTTCCTCAAGCTGTGTCTGGTTCCTGGCCTTTCTGCCTCTTCTCTAACCTCTGCCCTGGATCAGCACAGCTTTGGTGGTAGTTTTCGTCTCTGTAAGTAAATTCACTAAAAAGTGCCCTTGGCTTTATCATCCCATCTCACCCAGGCCAGCAGTCCCACCCCCACAGCAGATGTCACCACACCTGCCACTTTTGGAATTGGCACTTCTAAACCTATTTGTCTGGATATTATTTAGGGTGGGTAATAACTGCTGTAGTCATGTGGCATAGCCCTGTATTACGCCAGTATTATCTTTTTCTAATCCTCAAAAACTAATTTGCATTAAGGTTTTGTGTAGCATCATGGGAAGCATTTTTGTTTGTGTTAATCCTAATTTTTTAAATTTTAGAGAGAAACATCAGTGATGAGAAAGAATCATTAATCAGTTGCCTCCTGCATGTTCCCTACTGAGAATCTAGCCTGCAACCCGGGCATGTGCCCTGACTGGGAATCGATCCAGTGACCTCTTGGTTCATGGGTGGATGCTCAACCACTGGGCCACACAGGCCAGGCTGTGTTGTCCTAATTTAATTCTCACTATTTGTAAGGTAGGACAGTATTATTCCCATTTTATAGCTGAGGAAACTAAACTGCAGGAAGGTTGTCTAGGTTTACACAATGAAAGAGCTGTGATTTGAACTGGAGTTGCCTGAATCCATATCCTATAGTCTGTACCCTTATCATGTTACCTCGGATCTTGTGGCTTCTAGATCTTTTGTTCCTCTTTCCTTTTTCTATCCCCCTCTACCATCACTTCAGGGAAGAGAAGGTATTTTCCATATACCTGCCAGAAATTTCAGCTGCCAGAGGACTAGGCTGCAGGGAGATGGGCAGATAGCCATTGCTCTGCTGAGTTCATGTAACAAAGATGTGTAGAGACAGATAATCCCATCAGCCTTCCAGCAGTCAGATAATCTAGTCTCTGATATCATCTGCATTATAACTGAGGACAGTTCTGGCTTGGAGTGAGGCAGTCAGGACAAGGGAGGAGAGGAGGAACAGTCAGCCTGGTCTAAAGTATAGAATGAAAAAGAGCCATGGGTATGTATCCAATGAAAGTGCAAGGTCTGTTGCAAAGATTTCTAAGGTGCTCTGTATTTATTCATTATTGAGTACCTACCAACTGCCTGGGCCAGGCTAAATGCTGAGGAAAGATGTTTAAACAAAAAAACTCAGCCCTAGCCAGTTTGTCTCAGTGGATAGAGTGTCAGCCTGCAGACTGAGGGTCCTGGGTTTCATTCTGGTCAAGGGCACGTACCTCAGTTGCTGGCTCCTCCCTGGCCCGGGCCCTGGTTGGGGCACATGCAGGAGGTGACCAATTGATGTGTTTCTCTCAAATCTATATTTCTGTCTTTCCCTCTCTCTCAAAAAATCAATGGAAAAATACCCTCGGGTGAGGATTTATAAATAAATAAAGCATGCTCTTTGCATTTCTGACAAGTTCTCAGGTTTTGTTGCTGCTACTGGTATGAGGACCGCACTTTGAGAACCACTGACCCAAACCAACTAAGATATGTTCTATAATAAAGGTAAGTTTAGATTGGATTCTTGAAGGAACAAGGAACAGAGAAGGAAGAGATTAATGCTGCCTGGAAGTGTCCTTGAAGGATGGGTAGGATTTTGCTTGGCTACTGAGAAGAATAAAGACATGAGGAACAGCCTGAGTAAAGACCCAGGGATCAGAAGAGGTTGGACTTTTGAGTAGTGGAGCTGGATGGAACTCCAGTGGTACACGAAGTATATGAAGGAGTCAGGAACTTATGTTGAAGGAAAGGAGTGAGAGTTCAAACTTAGGTACAAAGAGCCAACAAAGTATTTCAAGCAGACAAGTGGTAGACTTGAGAGTTGTGTTTAGAGAAATTTCTCAAGATCTATACATCATAGGGCTCCACTCCAGACCTGAATTTTGAGTTGGAGATGCATCTTTAATAAGCACCCCAAGCAATTCTGAGCCACACAAAAGTTTGAAGAAGGACTGGAGAAGAAAAAGAACTGAGGCTGGATCATTTAGGGAGCAGGTGGAAAAGGATAGAAAAAAAATACTTAAAATGTCATAAGGCAAAATTCACAGGGTTTAGTTACTAATTTGGGAGAGTGTTTGTGAGATGAGTCCAGGCAATTATAAAATGTTAGGGTTTGGTTTCTATTTTCCAAGGGAGCAACAGCAGAAGAGGCAGAAGCAGATGAGGTTGGGAGAAGACCATGGAAGTAAAAATGGATAAGGAAATGTATTATAGTGGGAAGATCACTGGATTGAAAATGGGGAGACCTTGCTCTGTGAACTTTGCTGCTGTAGAATTGTCATCTTTTAGAGGCCAGAGTAGATCTCTGAGGTCCCTCCAACTCTAAAATGTCATATTCCAAGTTAAAGTAGAAAGTATTTTAGTTGAATATAAATTTAAGTACATAATTAGGGGGATAAACGATTGGAATGGGGTCCTAATGCCTGCAGGGAAAAATTAGTTCCTGGAGAACAATAAAAAATTGATGAAACCCTGATTTGTCCAACATCTTGCCCACGACCAATCCTATAGATTTTTCAATGTTCAGATGAGCAATAACTGTAAGATGATTTATCTTTCTTTTGAACTTGGAAGACACCTAAAGAAACATCTAAAAACCTAGCATTGCTGGATGTGGCTCAGCAGTTGAGCATCGACCTATGAACCAGGAGGTCACACACCAATACCTGGTCAGGGAACATGCCAGGGTTGCAGGCTCGATCCCCCATAGAGGGCATGCAGGTGGCAGCCGATGAATGATCCCTCTCCCTTTTTCTCTGAAGTCAAGAAAAATATATTTTTAAAAAACTTCCAATGAGTGATGGAAAATAATTCCATTTGAGAGCCAGCTAGACCTGAGTTCAAACCTAAATTTGCATCCCATCTCAGGTAACATCCTCTCTGAATCTCAGTTTCCTCATGTCTACATGGGAAGAAAATAGCCAAGATGCAGAGTTGTGAGCATTAAAAAGGCTGTGGACTTACCTAAACTGCCTAGCAGAGTCGGTGCTCGGTACAGTGACAGGGTAAACAGAAGGACTGCTTGAGTCTGTGTCCCAGCTCCACCACTTACTAGCTGTGGACTTGGGGCAAATTACTTAATTTCTCTAAGATACAGTTTCTTCAACTGTAGAATGGAGATAATACCTATCTCCTAGTGTTGTTATAGGATCAAATGAGGTAATATCCGTAAATAGGTTAACGTGATTTAGCAAAGGTAAACAGCTGCTATCACCATCATCCTCTTTCACCTCCTTCACTGCTTAGCTTGTAATGTCTATGACATCACGACACTCTAAATGTCGGGGGAAAATACCCTTACTTGATTAATGCTCGTCTCCTCCTCCTTACGACCAACAGCAGTTCACACAGTGGACACTAAAAAGAAAAAGTTCTATTTTGCTCCCTGACTATTCCAAGGCAAAAAAGTAAATTTCAAACGGTGTCCCCTCCTAGCGTCAGAGAATGGAACTACAAAAGGCTGGAGCATACAAGCCTTCCTTGCTCTTCCATCCGTAGGCGATAGGCGGCACTCCCTGGCTCTTTTCTTCTGCCGGATATACTAATAAAGTTTGATTTGAATAAATAAGCAGACAGGCCCTGCTTTCCCCATAAAAGCTTCTTCCGCCAGCAACCAGAGTCTGAGGGCCTCGCAAGAGGCGGGTCGAGACTTAAGGGGCGGTACCGGAAGTGAGGTCACCACCTCCGGGGTGAAAGGTTAGCGGAAGTGCGGTTCTTTCCTTTCTGCTCTAGGTCCGAGTGGCTGCGTTCGGTGAGTACATCCCTGGGCAGGGTCTTCTAATCCACCGCCATCCGCGGCCTGGGGGGCGAGTTGTGGGGTGGTTCCGAGTACTTTCCATTCCTCTGTCTCTGCCGGCTTCGTAGCGGATCCTGTCCCGTGAACAGGGCCCGTGGGCGGCCTGGGCCAGGACGACAGTGAACGCAGCTTGAAGCTCCGAGAGCCCGCAGCCTGGGCTTGCGAGTTTCTTAGGGGCCCCTTGTTCCTCTCTGCAGAAATGGGCAAGTTTATGAAACCCGGGAAGGTGGTGCTGGTCCTGGCCGGACGCTACTCCGGACGCAAAGCCGTCATCGTGAAGGTACCATCCTCGCGAGCCTGTACGCCCGTGTTTCCCGGAACTGGGCCGATTTCGGAGGACCGCGAGCTTGGAATTCAAGAACCAGTTTGGGACATGAGCCACTGAGCATTGCGTGTAGGGGTGGGGGTGAATGCATGAGGGCTTTTGGAAGAGGAAAATGGAAAATAAAAACAAGTTGACTTGGGCACCTAACACAACACGCTCTCTACCAAAGAGGCATTAAATAATAATAATAGTGGCCAACGCTTACTGAACGCTTGCTTGGTGCCTGGTACACTGCCTTACAGATGTTTTCGTGCCCAATCCTTGCAGTAACCCTAGGCAGTGGTTCTCAACCTTCCTAATGCCGCGACCCTTTAATACAGTTCCTCATGTTGTGGTGACCCCCAATTTCATTGTTACAAATTGAACATAATTAAAGCATAGTGATTAACCACAAAAACATTATGTAATTATAGATGTGTTTTCCGACGGTCTTAGGCGACCTCTGTGAAAGGGTCGTTCGGACCTTCCCCCCGCCCCCCCCCCCCCAAAGGGGTCGCGACCCACAGGTTGAGAACCGCTGCCATAGAGGGTTCTTCCTACTGCTAAGGTTTAGAGATGTTCGCTAACTCACCTGAGGTCAAGCAGATAGTAAGAGCTGCAGCTGGGATTCTGTAAAGGAGGAGGAATTGTTTCTATCAAAATGGTCATTTAGCGTATTGCAGGCCTTCACTGTTTGCCTGCTGCCTTCATCTTTTAGCTTCTTGCAATGTCCCTAACATCTGACCACAAACAGCACTGCTCTTAGTTGTTTGGGGGACACTGGAACTTCTGGTTCCCTTCCCCCCACCTTCTTGAGACGAGTTGGGCTGCCTGCCTGCCTCTGCTCCTAAGAACCAGTGCTTGGCAGGTCGCAAGGACTTCATTCATAAATGATAACTGTTCTTTTAAAACCTCTTACCTCCCAGGAGCCCAAATTCTTCCTGGTGGGCATGAATGCCGCCCTAACCCTCACTGCTCTGGGCATCTGGCATAGCACTTAGTGTGTCTGCTTTATGTGGTTTTTCTCTGTAAGATGGTGGGTCTCAGAGACATGGGGGTAGAGATGATCTTTCTGTACATGCCTGCCTCTAGCACAGGGCCTAGCTAGGCTTTAAGTTGATCCTAAATGTAAATCTTGTTCATTTAGAACATTGATGATGGCACCTCGGACCGCCCCTACAGCCATGCTCTGGTGGCTGGAATTGACCGCTACCCCCGAAAAGTGACAGCTGCCATGGGCAAGAAGAAAATTGCCAAGAGGTCAAAGATCAAGTCTTTTGTGAAAGTTTATAACTACAATCACCTCATGCCCACAAGGTGAGCATTTCAAGAATGGGAATAAAATTTAAGTTTCTTTTCCCCATCTCTGCCTTGCTGAATAAGGAGACAACCTTGCAGCCACCTGGGGGGAGACATCATTTTCAGTTTGTCACAAAGTGGCTGTGGTTTCCAATCTTGCCCCTTTCATACATCTTGGGACCGTGTTCATGTCATTTTCTTTGGTGGTTTCCCTAACTTTGCCAGGCCTAATTGAAAATCTCCAAGCTTGCTCTTTGTCTTTCTTACCCGAAAACTCTAAATGTTGAGTAAAGATTTGTTTCCATCCACAGTAAACACAGGCATGGGATCTGGCCTCCCACCTCTTCCGCTGTTCCGTTCTCACAGATAGTTATTATAGGCTTTAAAAAATGAACAAAGGAAAGCAAGTCTCCCTTGATTTCATTTGACTGCCAGACCCTTTGTCTCCTGGCCTTTCACAGTATTGTGCAGCGCATCTGCTATCCTGGTACAAGGGTGATAAAGGAATACAAGATTTGAAAGACCTCTGAACCAAATAATTGCCAAACCCAGCAGCATGTGCCTTAAAGTTTGCTACTGGGACTTGATGTTTGCTCTTAATGTGCTGACCTAAGAGAACAGGGCCGTTTCTCGTGTGCTGGAAAGCTGTGAGATTGAGGCAGCTAGCTGCCCAGCTCTTGCATTGTCATAATGGGGCACCCTGCATAGGCAGAACTTGAACGGTACTAAATACAATGGCTCTAAATAGAAAACCAGCCACCCACTAGGAATCAAGTAAAGTTCTAATACAGTGATGGTTTGTAGCTAGAAAATAAGTAGTTGGGAAAATTGACAGTGAAGTGTGAAGTTTTCCAATGGCTTAAATTTATGTAAATGAGTCTTAATATTAGAGATTTCTCAAGCCTATCATCAGCACTTTGGGACAGCTTTTGACCGTTGTTCCTGTGGAGGCAGAACCTGGTACCCTACTGTCCCAGGAGGACTTGGGTGGCTGCGGAGGCCCGGGCAGCATACGGGCTAATCCAGCTCCCCACCACTGTCCCCAGGTACTCTGTGGATATCCCCTTGGACAAAACTGTTGTCAACAAGGACGTTTTCAGAGACCCTGCTCTAAAACGCAAGGCCCGGCGGGAGGCCAAAGTCAAGTTTGAAGAGAGGTAAGTTAGGCTTTGGTGGTGGATATTGGGGTGTGGTGTTGCTAAGTCCCATAAAGAGAAATTTGTCTCTCCCTCCTCTCATCGATGTCCTTGTTTTCCCACTAGATACAAGACCGGCAAGAACAAATGGTTCTTCCAGAAGCTGCGGTTTTAGATATATATTGTTTCTGTCATTAAAAATCCAAAAAAATATCCGTGTCTGCCTGTTGCATGTATTATTTATTCATCTGGGAAAGGAGAACAGTCATAAGATAAAAGGCTGGTGGGTGAGGGGCTATGGAAAAAATATAAAAGTTAGATCTGCCTTTGTGAGACTTGAGCTAGTTCTCAGCTTGATAATCCTTTAATGAACTGCTTCCCAAAAGGGCTGCTGTTGACATTTTTAGGTGCAGAGTTTATGGCATCCCTGACTTCAGCTCTTTACATCCTTAGAGAAACTGCCACCCGCCACCAGAGGACAACCAAAGCCCCTCTGAGTGGATGTGCACTGACTGTTTCGGATTGAGAGCTAACCTGAGGTTCTCAAACCTTAGCACTGGTGGCTTGTCAAACCGGAATCACCCTATGAGTCAGATTTAGTTGGTAGGAATTTTTGGCAAGTTGTCTGGTGATACTGGTGCCTCCACTGAGGACCACACGAGGGGGCCAGGCCAAGAGCAGCCATTTCTAGTGGGACCAGGGAGAGGTCCCTAAGAGCCTGGCTAGCGGAAGCTGGCAAAAAAGAGTGGTTGAGCATCGACCTATGAATCAGGAGGTCAGGGCACATGCCAGGGTTGCAGGCTCAATCCCCAGTAGGGGGTGTACTGGAGGCAGCCAATCCATGATTCTCATCATTTCCCTCTCCCTCTGAAATCAGTATTTAAATTTTTTTTTTAAAGGGTATGATTCTCAAGGGCTTGGGATACTTGTGACCTGTTTTAGGAATGAGAGGCTCCAGCTGAGCTGGTTCTCAGTCACGGTGAAACTAGGATCCAGAGACCTATTCGCCAAGCCTGAGGTGCACTTCCACCTGGGGTGGGGTTGTGAGAAGGGCTCATGAGTTCCTGGTGTAAAAACCCTGGACTAGATGAAAACAATAGGAAAGACAGTGTTTTGTGTACTTTAGTTTGGCTCCTCTCACCTTTAAGTATTGGGCATCTCTATTGAAACCCTCCTGTTAGCTGAGTCCCAAGTGGAAATGAGTTTAAACCCTGCTTTGACTAAAAATTCAAGTTCTCATGCCTCAAAGCCCAAGTTCAAATACTGTCCAAGTTTGGATACATGCTTCACTTCCTATAATGTGACAGTGGGTAAGTTTATGTCCTTCAGAAGTTTAGGATCTCATCTGTAAAATCTGGAAAGAACTAAGGGGTTGTTTTGAAGATTGAGTTTAATTCATGCAAAACAGGACCAGTATTGGACACAGCAGCGCTCAATAACTGCTATTGTAACAACTTTGTGAACTTGGAGTGGCTTTGTCCTGGTTGCGTTTGTCACTCAGTTTTATCAATGTCTGCATGTGCCAGGCATTATTCTGGGCTCTAGGGAAATATCTATTAACCAAGCAGACAGATTTCTGCCAGTGGGCTTCTGCTGGGATGGAAAGGTTGGGAATAGTGGATTGGGGCCAGAATTTAGTTTGCATTTAGTAAGGTAGTTTCCCCTAAGACAGTGGTTCTCAACCTTCCTAATGCCACGACCCTTTAATACAGTTCCTCATGTTGTGGTGACCCCCGATTTCATGGTTACAAATTGAACATAAAGCATAGTGATTAATCACAAAAACAATATGTAATATATGTGTTTTCCGATGGTCTTAGGCGACCCCTGTGAAAGGGTCGTTCGATCCCCAAAGGGGTCGCGACCCACAGGTTGGGAACCGCTGCCCTAAGGCCACATAGCTGGGTGAAGTTGACGTAGAGACCTGGAAGTCTCCTCCCAGGGGTGGGGAAAAGCAGTTGGCCATGTGAGCACTAAATGGGCAGGGACTTCCCAGAAATGAAAGTGGAAGTAAAGAGCCTGCAGGCAGAACGTTTTGAAGTGCATTTCAGGCTCTGTGAGGGGAGATAAGTCTCAGAAGGTGGAAGCAAGAGTTCTGTTGGGTGGATTCTGCCACTTTGTTTCCAGCTCTGAAGCCTCCGCTCTTGCCAACCAGATCCCAGACCCATGTCAGTGGCTCCAGATCCCGTAAGTGAGGAGGAGGGTGTTGGGCGTGGGGAGAAACGGGAGCATTCCTCTTGGCCTGGCCCGGTGTCCTAGCCTCTCCCTGTGGAGTTAGTTCCCTAACCCATTGGCTCAAAGACAAAGCTATATAATCTGTACCTCAGGAGCTGATGAATTCCTTGAGTGAATGCATTTTTCTGGAGAGAATCTATAGTTTTCATTAGATACTCAAAAGGTTCCGTGATCTAAAATTTTAAGAATCGCTCTCATGACGATTTTAAACATTTAAGGCCCTGGCTGGGTAGCTCCGTTGGTTGGAGCATCGTCCTGACACACCAAGATTGTGAGTTTGAAGAAATGTACCTCCTCTGAGAACTGAGCTCCCTGCTGCCTCTTGTGGTCCACCATTTCCTGACCTCCACTCAGGCCAGACGGAGCTCTGTGAGGACTGGGCCCCAAGGAGGGCACATACAAGAATCAACCAGCAAATGCATAAATAAGTGAAACAACAAATCCGTGTTTCACTATCTCTCTCTTGGAAAAAAATAAATACAATTTTTTTTAAGAGATCAGAAAAAATATATTTTTTAAATCAAGAAATGCCCACGTTCTTATTTCCTGATATCTTCACCAACAAATTCTCCCCTCCTTACACTTTCTCAACGTTGGCCCCTCTTCTGGGTCAGGGAAGAAGTGTGCCTCCTCTGGGAACTAAGCTCCCTCCTGTCTGTTGTGTCCACCGTTTCCTGACCTGTGAACACCCCGGCTCAGGCCCGGCCAAGCTCTGCGAGGGCTGGCCCCGGTCCAGCCAGTCCACCATTGCCCCCAGTGCCTAGCACTGTTCCTAGCATGTAGTAGACACACATTAAACAGCTGTTGAATGAATGAATCTCATCCCCTCTCCAGTTTATTCAGTCTTTCCTTCCGTGTTACTACCCCACTACAAATATGCTGATCTCTCACTTAGAAACTTTCATTTGCCCCTTTTTTTTTTAACTCTTTTTAAAAAAAATATATTTTATTGATTTTTTACAGAGAGGAAGGGAGAGAGATAGAGAGTTAGAAACATCGATGAGAGAGAAACATCGATCAGCTGCCTCCTGCACATCTCCTACTGGGGATGTGCCCACAACCCAGGTACATGCCCTTGACCGGAATCGAACCTGGGGCCTTTCAGTCCACAGGCCGACGCTCTATCCACTGAGCCAAACCGGCTTCGGCTCATTTGCCCCTTAAATGTAACAAGAAAGACCACAGGCTCTGTAGCAGGAGTGGGAACCTTTTTTCTGCCAAGGGCCATTTGGATATATAACATCATTTTCGGGCCATACAAAATTATCAACTGAAAAATTAGCCTGGCCGCCAGTGTGCTCAATGGTTGAGCTTCACATGAACCAGGAGGTCATGGTTCAATTTCCAGTCTGGGCACATGCCCAGATTGCAGTCTCGATCCCCAGTGGTGGGGATGCAGGAGGCAGCTGATCAATGATTCTCTCTCATCATTGACATTTCTATCTCTCCCTCCCCTTTCCTCTTTGAAATTAATTTTTAAAATATAAATAAATTAGCCTGTTATATTTGGTCAAACATTTAATTAACTCACCCCTAATGCCTTGGCGGGCCGGATGTTCCCCACCCCTGAAGTCTAAAGCCAACCTGCCTGGTTCCAAATCCTGGTTCCTGCAATTGTGTGGCCCTGGGAATTCTAAAATTGTCATCTAAGCCCATTTCCTTATCTATGAGATGAGAAGAATAGCAACATTTCCTCATAAGAATATTAACCTGCAAGAATCAAGCTAGATAACCCATAAATTAATATAGTAAAAACTTAACACACTGCTTGGCACATACTAAGCACTCAATACATGCTCAATATTGTTAATATTATCACCAACCTTTTCAGAACCCCAGTTCCCCAGGGTCATCTCAATTCACCCCACCTCAGGCCTACCACTCTACTAAAACTCCTTTATTTTAATTATATATAAATTTATTTTAATTATATATAAATATAATTATTGATTTCAGAGAGGGAAAGATAGTAACATCAATCAATGATGAGAGAGAATCATTGATTGGCTGCCTCATGCATGCCCCCTAACTGTGGAATGAACCCGCAACCCAGGCCTGTGCCCTGACCGGGAATTGAACCGTGACCTCCTGGTTCATAGGTCGAAGCGCAACCACTGAGCCATGCCAGCCGGGCTAAAACTCCTTTAAAGGCTTTTATATATTAAAAAGGAAAGAAGTGCCCCAGCTGGTTTGGCTCAGTGGATAGAGCATTGGCCTGCCAACTGAAGGGTCCCAGGTTTGATTCGTTATTGAGAGACAACCCTTTACTACTGACATGTTGATGTCTATCTTTCCAGAGGCTTTTTATGCATTAATAAATATCCTTATGAATTAAAACTTTTTAAATCAACAGAGTAGGGATCCTATCTTCTATACAGTTTTGTATTTTGCTTTTTTGCCTTAGTCTGAGCATTTTTCTGTGTCGTTAATTGTTCTTCATTAATGTCTTTTCATTGCTATGTAATATTTTATATTTATTTGACTATTCCTCTGTGGTTGCGCATTTCTTCTGTTTTGTTATAAACAGGCTACAATAATAAGAATTCTTGTACATGAACTTCTGACCATTTCCTTATGATAAGCAGGACTGTTTTTTGTTGCTCAATCTCAGTGGTTATTCTCACTCCTCATCTTTTTCTTTATAGTTTTTATTAACTTTAGAGAGAAGCTAAAGGAGCGGGAGAGAGAGAAACATCCCCAAACACACAACCTGGGCATGTGCCCTGACCGGGAATTGAACCCATGACCTTTTGGTGCACGGACGATGCTCAACCAACTAAGCCATAGTGGTCAGGGTTCATTCCCCATCTTAGTCGGCACAACTGCTAACTCCTCCTCCTCCTCCTTGAAACCTTTCTTCATTCTTCACACCTCTCCTCTCCCTCGGGTTTCGCTAGCCATTCCTCTTCATTCTTCTTGGCTGGTTCTTCCTTATTCCCCTGACCTCTTAGTGTTGAATGCCCCAGAAATCAGCCCTT